TCCTACAAGCCACAAATGTCTTTCCATTGATCATTAATAAGCATAAACCCAGTTTGCCTACTCTGAGACATCAACTTTACTAATCTGTGCTTTCTGGAATCTGCAAGTAGCCTCATCTTTTGATATTCAGTAGACAATGTACCATCTCTTGTTTTCTAATCCATTTCTTTTTCTCCATCATATTTTAAGATAACAGACTTCACATCTGTCCATTTTTTTCAGCATTTTTCAATATAAGTGTACTGGATTTGGGTACTTGAATTTCTTTTAAGTTACTGGGTTCTTTATCACCCTTATCTTTGAAATAAATTCTTGCCAACTTCAATTCTTCATGATAAAGAACAGGAAAAAAGAAGAATGAATGGTACAGCATATTTAACCTTCACCCTTATGAATATTATTTCCTTTGCTTTGTATAAGCTTAAAATCCCTATGGGAGTTTTTTCAAAATTTTTTTTTCTTAGTTCATTGTGGACATTCTACTTCCCCACACTCTTCTTCTAATTCCATATAACACTTAACAGTGTCACCATCTGAAATTCTTGATTTGATTTACTAGTTTATTATCTATTGAGTGTTCATAGTACATGTGGTTTTTATTTCATTTTATTAATTTTAGTGAATATTTACAGAGATTTTGAATTTCCATCATTCATTGTTACATTTATTTAATTTTTAATACTACTTTTTAAAAGAAACATTTTAGCCTCATGCTTTTCCTTTTATCTTTTGTTTACTTTTTAATATTTGCACTTAAACGGGGTTTTTCCTTTTAAAGGTTATATAACATCTAATATTTATAACTCCATTCTAGAGCTTCTTATACTTAGATAGCACTGTAGGTAAAAGTATCCAGTTGCTAGTCAAAGATCAGTGGTTCAAATCCACCAACTGCTCTGTGGGAGAACTATTAGACAGTCCACTTTCATAAAGACTTAGAATCGTGGAAACCGTGGGGTTATTTCTACTCTTATCCTACAAGGTTGCTCTAAGTTGTAATCAACAACTTCAGTGGAAGTGGATTTGTTTTTTGGATTAAACCTTTAAAGGTTTTAAGCAACTGCACAACAGCTTGTGTATTTGAACTGGCTGGCACTGGGTTGGCAGTGCAACTCCCTACTCACATCAAAGCTAATCAGAAATTGTTGTGTAACACTGCAAAAATTTTTTAAGTATAAAAATTTCCCAGATTTCTTAAAAATGTTTTCCTAAGACTAGGATATGTGTGACAATGTCCCACTTTTTTCTTCCACTTCTCCTAAGTATGTCATCTAATGTGACCTGGTAATGTGTATCTGGTAAAAATTACTAACAGTTCCTCTTTACTGGTCAGAATTAAACAAAAAGAACAGTTCCCTTTGAAAATTCTCCTATTTGTGTGCTCCTTGTTCCATGAACTTAGATTGCTCTGATAAAAAGTTCAGTTGAGGACACTCTTTGAGTTCAGGCATGTTTTTTTTCCACAACATTCAGGCGTGAAATTTGCCCCAGCAGTTAAAGAAAGACCTTAGGAAATCCTAATTTTCTCAGAACTGACTGGACAAGAAATTAAAATGTCAACATTTCCTTCCATTTATAGCCTAGGGCCTTCCACCTTTCCAACTTGCCTGTGCTCTTTGTTCCTCTCTCTCCCCTCCCCCTCCATACCTCCAGCCTCCCTCTTTTCTCCCTCCTCCCACCTCCTCTCTGATATACAAACATATCTTTGAATTCTTGCCCTCCATAGATATGTGTGTCAGTTTGCTGTACTGGGGTGACCTGGTGTTCCAATTGCTAGCTGTGCCACATGTAGATGGACATGTTTCAGCAGAGTCTCCAGATTAAAAAAGACTAGCAGGCAGGATTAGCCATCCACATTTCTGAAATAGCTGGCCTTTGAAAACATTAGTGGATCACCCTTAGATATACTACTGGAGTTACAGCCCAAACTGGAAGTCACTCAAAATAAGGAAAAACAGCTATAAGCTTCCTTTAATAATTGGAACATGGGATGTAAGAAATATGAGTGTAAGAAAATTGGAAGTTGTCAAAAATGAAATGGAATGTGTAAAGATCTATATTCTAGACATTAGTGAACTGAGACTGGTATTGGATACTTTTAATCAGATAATCATATGATCTATTATTCTGGAAGTGAAAAATTGAAGAAGAATGGTGGTGTGTTCATAGTTTAAAAAGACCATTTCAAAAATCTATCGTGAAGTACAGTGCTGTGAGTGTGAGGATACTATCCATACACATATAGAAAGATCTGTTAATGCAGCTACTATTCAAACAATTACACCAACAACGAAGGCCAAAAATGAGGAAATTGAAGAATTCTACCAACTTTTTCAACTTGAAATTGATCAAACATGGAATAAAAATGCATTAATAAGTATCTGAAGTGCAAGATTTGGAAACAAAGAAGGAAACTTATTTTTCTTGGTGACAAAATTGAGGATGGAGATGAAATGGTTGAATTCTGAGCAATCAATTCATTGCAAATACCTTTTCTCAAAACACAAATGGTGGCTATGCACATGGACTTCACCTGATAGATTCCACAGGAATCAGATTTACTAATTTTGTGACAAGAAGAATTAGAGAAGTTAAATATTAGCAGTTAAAACCAGGCCAGGTACTGACTGTGGAACGGACCAATTATGCATGTTTAAGTTCAAGGTGAAATTGAAGAAAATGAAAACAAGTCCACAGGAACCATAATAGGACATTGTGCTTATCCTATTTGAATTTAAAAATCTTCTCAAGCATAGGTTTTAAGCATTAAACACTAATTATCCAAGATTAGATGAGTGTGAAATGACATCAAAGATATCACCCATGATGAAATGAAAAGATCATTACAGAGAAAAGGGAAAAAGAAAAAACCAGAATAAGTATCAGAAGAGACTGATCACTGGATCAATAAGCAACATCATGATAGATGGAGAAAATATTGAAGCTGTAAACAATTGCATCTTGCTTGAATTCACAACACTCTTGGTACCAGCCGTCAAGAGATCAGAAGATGTGTTGCTTTGAGAAAATGTATTGCCATGGACCTCTCCCATGTTCTAAAGGGCAATAATATTGCTTTAGAGATGAAGGTGCAACTGATTCAAGCTATGGTATTTTCAATTACCTGCTATGCACCTGAAAGTTGGACAGTGAATAAAGATGGTAGAAGAAGAATCAATGCCTTTGAATTCTGGTGCTGGAAAAGACTGAATATCCCCTGGGTTGCCAAGAGAACAAACACATATGCTTGGGAAAAGTACTACTAGAGTACTCTTTGGAGGTGAGGCTGGCAAAGCTTTGTCTCACATACTTTGAGAATGTTGTTAGGAAGAGTCAGTCCTTAGAAAAGGACATCACATTTGAATGGTAGAGGGTCAATGAAAGAGAAGAAGGTCCTGTGGGACGTGGATTGACACAGTACTGCAGCAATATGCTCAAGAATATCAGAGGCAGTGAGGATGGCACAGGATAGGGCAAGGCTCAGATCTGTTGTTCACAGGGTCACTAGGAATTGAGCTCAACTTGACAGCACCTAACAACAGCATATATTTTACACTAAATTACTTTACATTTAATTTCGTACTTGTACTTAATACTTTATTGTGATACTTAAGGATGTATGGTGGCATTGTGCATATATAACCTATTGTACTGCTAATCAGTGGTTCAAATCCACCAGTTGCTCTGTAGGAGAAAGATGAGCAGTGTCCTATAAAGATTTACAGCCTCTGAAAACCAATGGAGACTGATATGATTTGGAATCCTCAAAGGTAATGGAGTTGGTTTCTTATATATACTTTGATAGGTAGTTAATAGATGCATGACAGATACTTAAAACTAGAACCTATTGTAGTCAAGGTTAACTGACTCATAGCTCACCGTACAGTAGGTGTTAGAAGTCTGTAAATCACAAGGCAGGTGACTACCCATCTTTTCTCCTTCAGAGCTGCTGGTGGATTGGAACAGCCTTTGTGTTAGCAGAGCAATTCCTTATGGACTAAGCCACCAGTGCCCCCTGCATCAGTTCACAGCTGACCTTCCAGTGTGGTTTGAGAGGACACACACATGCACACACACACACACACACACACACACACACACACACACACACACAAGCTCTACCTAATGAATAAGGTGTTGCACCGCCAAACCAAAGGCGGATGGTTCAAATCCACCAGTTGCTCCTTTGGAGAAAGATAGACAGTTGAGCTGCTGAACATACATGGTAAGGTCCGCTATGAGTTGGTTCCAACTCAACGGCATATAACAACAACATATAAAAAAATAAATCTACATCTACCTTTAAAAAATAAAAAAAAAAAGAATAAATAAAAGAGAAAAAATGAGAAACCAAAAGGGAGGCGGATACGGAAAGAAAACACAGGGGCAGAAGGAATAGGAGCCTAGTCTGCTTGGATGGTGCTTCTGACCAATAAGCAGGACTTGCACCTTGCAGGGAGCGGGGTGCAGGTTGGAAGGGTGTACCCTTCAAGAAAATGAATGGAGCCACTTTGCTCTCTTCTTTCGCCACCCCCTCTTTGTAATAATTCTTCATTATGGAGCAGTTATGCACAGCTGCAAAGCCAGCTCATGCGTGAAATAATTTCCTTCTAATTATTGAAAATTGGCCCTTTTGAAATGTGACCTAGCAACTCTGATCTTTTAAGCACGAGGCATAGTGGTAAGAAGCTGCGCTGCAAACCCAAATTCCATACATTTCAAATCCACCAGCTGCTTCACAGGAGAAGGATGGGCAATCTCCAGTGCGATTTATGCCTCTGAAAACCTGCTGAAGGGTCAGCTATGAGTCAATTCTGACTTAATGGTGCACAAGAACCAATATGACTTATTTAAACAATAATATTATTTGGGGGCAGGGAAAGGGAGAAAAGGAAGCAAAAATAAGGATCTTGGGTTTCTTTTACTCTGGGTTTTCTTTTAGACGGTCTGTCTGGAGACTGCTTCCTGTGATCATAAACCCCTAAACATTTGCAGAGAGCATGAACAATCAAGGGCCAGACACAGAAGACCAGGCGATCATCAGAATCGCAGCCCATTTACCGGATCTCATCGTCTATGGAGATTACTCTCCAGAGAAACCCTCGGTGAAGTATTTCGATGGAGTCTTAATGTTTGTTGACATTTCAGGCAAGTACATTTAAAAATCTTGTTGAATATAAAAATCACAGGGTGTAGCAAATGATTAAGTGCTCAACCATTACTGAAAAGTTGGCTGTTCAAATTCACCCAGAGGCACCTCAGAAGAAAAATCTAGTAATTTACTTCCCCTTAAATACCATCCATTGAAAGAAAACCTTATAGATAAGGAAAAGTAATCGTTAGATAATAAACCACTGCCACTAAATCGATTTCCATTCATAGCAACCCTCCATCAGTTGTCCAAGCTATGAATCTTAACAGAGGAGACTGTGGATTAGTTAGTGGATTCAAACTGTTGGCTTTTCAGTAGTAGTCCAAACCTTAATCTAGACACATATTTGGGTTGGTGAAGAAAAATCCATCGAAAAAGAAAAAGAAAGATAAACCCTATGGAGCACAGTTCTCTGACACACATGGGTCACCCTGAGTTAGAATTCGCTTAATCAACAGCAACTGGATTCTTAGTGTTGTAACGGGGGGAAGGAGCTGTGGTGATGTGGTGATAAAATGCTGCACCACCAGCCTGAAGACATGCAGTTTGACTGTGCCAGCTGCGGTGCAGAAGAATGGACACGCTCCTCTCATGAGATTCACAGCCCTGAAAACCCCTAGGGGGTCAACTAGGAGTTGGTTCTGACTCCCCGGCACAAAACAACAACAAAGAGGAGAGCAGCAGGCTCATATCAGAATTCAGGTAATGAGCTTGATTGCAGAACACAGACCCCATTTCCAGGTTCTGGGCTATTTGTAGATTAGCCCAAGAATGAAAACTTGATGATGCCCAAGTCCTATGCCTGGAACCTCAGGCCAACACCCTTGCCTCAACCTCACCGATCCATCCCCTAAATCTCTCACATCTCAGTAAAAAACTAACTTCAGGAAATTATCTCCCCCAATTTTTATACCCTAACTGTAAATTTGCAAGCGTTCAGGTACTTTGATGATTTGATGGTTAAAGTATTTGGCTACTAAACAAAAGGATGGCAGTTCAAAACCACCAACCACTTCACAAGAGCAAAAATGAAGCATCCTCCTTCTGTAACGATTTACAGCCTTGGACACACCATGAGGCAGTTCTACTCTGTTCTGTAGGATCGTTATGTGTTGAGTTGACTTGGTGGTAGTGAATTAGAGGGGTTTGGAGGGATTTTTTTTTTGCTGTTATTATTCACAAATTTTTAATGTTTTGTGGTTTCCATTACTTACTGTGGAATAAAAGCCCCTATCCCAGTTAAAGGAATAACGGTCATAACTAAATGAATTGGAAATTTTGACATGAAGGTTAGAACAACTAATAACTGTCAATAGATGAGGCTGCATGTCTGGTACTTGATGAAGGCACACAATAAATAAGAAGGAAATCTGCATTTTAAAAGCTAAGCCACTCTGCTCTCTAGTGACTCTCCTCTCCAAATGATTTGCTTCTTCCAAACAGTTAAGAAACTATTGCACATTTATTACAGGTTTTACAGCGATGACTGAGAAGTTCAGCAGAGCCATGTACATGGACCGAGGGGCTGAGCAGTTGGTGGAGATCCTCAACTATTATTTAAGTGCTATCGTAGAAAGTAAGTGTTCCCATAGCTTGCTGGCTTGAGAAAAATGTTAGTTCACTATTTCTTGTTTGTTGGTTAGAATCTGACGTAGTATCATTCATTGCTTGCCACCCATTTCCCAGTGAAATCATCAAGAAAACCAGTCTCTTTTTGAAATAAATAAATCAAGGAATATAATCAAACCTCACTAGTACAGGCCATTAGAGGGAAAGGCTTTAAAGTTTTAAAGGTTTAATTAGGAGAGTCCTTTAAAAGAAACCAGGCCACAGAAGTCCAGAATGAAGGCTGCATAGTGGAGTGGAATTGGGGGGAGGAGTTGTATAACAATGAAAAAAAATTTTCTTTTACTTTTCGAAGAGAGGAGCTAACTAAGTGGGAGGGGTGGGCAGGGAGAAAGTGCAACAATAAATGAATGGAAATCCAAAGTCTCTGTAAACTTTCATGAAAATTAATAATAAAAAAAGAGTAAAAAAATGAAAAAGGTTTAAAAATACAAATTAAAGAAAATCATCTATCACCCAGAAAAAACCTAAAAAAATAAATAAGAGAAACTAGGAAGCTCTGGCCACCTATTGAGAAAGGAGTTGCTGCCAACACAAAGGTGATTCAAATCCTCCAGCTTCTCTGCAGGAGAAAAATGGGCAGCTTTCCTCCTGTGTGATTTACAGCCTTGGAAACCCCCCCCCCCAAAGGATCAACTGAGTTGGTCTTCACTCCTTCAGCAATGAGGTTTTTGGAAGAAACTTTAATAGTTTTAGATATATTCAGTAACTCAAAAGTGTTAGCATCAAATAACTCAAATGCTGTCACTGAGAGATTTCCATATGAATAGAAAAGAGGGATTTAGAATTAAGTTATCAGTCCTTTTTCTCCTAGTAATGGCTTCTGGAGCACAGCTGACTGGAAAGTTGTCTCTCCTTTCAACCTCTGCCTGCCATCTTATTTGCATTATTCGAACTGTTCCTGAAGAGACAGAGTTACTCTGTTATACAGTAAACTGCAGATGTGGTCTTTATTAAGTTCGAAGTTCCCTAGGATCTTTGGGTCATGAAAATTATTAGTGCACTTGGCTGGTAACTGGAAGGCCCGGTAGAGAAGTCTGGCAGGGTCGGCCACAGGGGGTCGTGCTGCTCACCCAAAGCCACCCGTTTGGTGATTCTGATCTCCCGGTGGCTCTGAGGAAGAAAGATGAACAATCTCCTCCCGTGCATATTAAAGCCTCGGAAATCTGCGGGAGGATTAGTTATGAGTTGGTTCCAACTCAATGAGTGGCTATTAAGTTTTTGTTTTGTTTTGTTGAAAAGTTCCTTGGAAGAAATGCACAGGAATAGACTTCTCAAAAAAAAAATTTTTTTTTTTAAATCGCTGTTTAGTGAAAAAAAAAAAATTAGCTCTTTAGTGAACAGGTTTACTCTGTCACACGCGGGGCTGCCATGAGTTGAAAGCAACTCAACAGCAACTGTTTTCCATTTTCCGGCACAAGCAATTCCTCACTTTGTCTATTCCAGTGACTCCATCCAAGAAAGGGTCTGATGGAAACGAAATACATTTTTCGAAGTTTTCATTATTATTGCTTTGTCCTGTCAATATTTTTATGAATCTAGTCTTTGTCTTTGAGGATTGGCGTTAGCAAATTGGGTCTTGCAGCATTGTAAAACAGGTGCTCCTAAATGCTCACATCCAAGCTGTTATAATTTGAGATCATCGTAACTCAAATATACCATTAAGACAGAGGCTATCTGTACTATCTTACTATCACCATCTAGGCAAATGCAATACTTCTTAAAATCAGAAACTAAATCTGATTTGGTTTTTTGCATTCAATTGAACATCTATTGTTGTTGGTGTGTGCTGTGTGTGCACTGTGGAGTCAGAAACCAACCCATAGCTCACTCTCCAGCAGGTTGTTTTTTGTTTTTTTTTCACAAATAATAATTTTTATTTGTAATTATTAAAATTCTGAATTTTAAACAGATTCTTGAACAGGTGGCTGATAGCCATCAGCTCATTCAACTTTAGCACCTGTCTCATCTCCAGTCTCATTCCAGAGCTACCACCTTCACCATGAAGCTCCATGAGTTTGCCCAATTCAAACTTGGGCTTCTTGAGCATTTTTACTTTCCTAACAAATACATCATGGAGAGGATAAATAGGCTGGCAAGCCTTTTTTATGCCTTTCCCAATGCTGTCTGGAATCAATTTATTGACCACCTCTTTCAAGTTATTTGTCTGCACCTCTCGGGTCATGATTTCCATCATTTCCTTCCGGATTTGGTGGACCTGTTGGTGCTGAGCATGTCTTCTGAATCTGATTGTTGCGTTTTTTTTGTAAAACCAACACAAAATAGATGAAGTAAATAACCATCGGTGGTTTTGACATCAACATGTGCTTCAATCATAGTCTGCGATTTTTTGACAATGGAGCACATTTTGTCTCGGGTAAGATCCATGCCATGGAAGATGATGAGGCAGTTTTTGCCTTGAACATCCTCAGTAATCAGCTTGAATTTTCTAAATGCAGCTTCATGATTTTGCAAATCAGCAAGGCTCACTTCAAAAACACGACCCTCGAGTCCATCACATGCAATTTTGGTTTCTTGAGTCCTTGTGACTAATGTCTTCCCAATATTTCTTATATCGAATATTGCTGGTGCCTTTACATCATACCAATCTTTCTTAGAAAATAGATCAACCACTTTCTCCTTGGCTCCTTTTTTGCCACCTTTTGCAAGGTGCTTGTTCTTGCTGACAGCCATGGTGGTGCCGAAAGAACCAAAAGGTCCAGCGGGTTTTTAAAGGCACTAAATCGCCTAGGAGGAGATTGCTCATCCTTCTTCCTCAGGGCAGCTGGGGATTTAAAACACATGCCTTGGAAGTTGCAATGCAGCTTATCCAGCACCTAGCATACAGCAAATGCTTAACAAATTGTTGTTGTTGTTGTTATGTGCCAGTGAGTCTCCTGCAACTCATAGCAACCTCATGTACATCAGCCCCAAATCCTGCTCTGTGCTGTGCCTGTCTCACTGTCTCCTACATATCTACCTCCATTACCCCAGTCATTGAAGCAATCCACCTCATCCAGGGTCTTCCTCTTGTGTGTTGCCCCAAATTAGTGATCATAAATAACTTTAGGGGAAAATGTCCATTTATGGTAAAAGTTTGAGTAACCAAAATGGAAATTGATCATGTATGTGTTTCCCTTATTTTATCATTTGCAGTTTTTTTGAAGTCTTATCACTCGTCCACATACCCATGCTCACTCATTTCATCAATCATAACATACATTTAAAAAAAAACAAAACTCATTATCCTGGGAGAGCGATCACTGTCTTTGAATCTTACTAGAAACACCACCTTAATTTTTCGTGTCTTTTCTCACTCATAGAAATGGAAAATGCACCTTATGTAGCCCTGGTATTCATTCTCCAGTAAAAGAAACAAACTCAAATGGGTTAACACTTTTCCTATAAATCTATTCTTTGAAATGCTATTGTCTTGCCCCAGGGTTTATCCCACTGATGCACAAGTTCTTTTTATTTGCTTGAAGAAGTCAGAAGTTGATTTCACTTACTTTCTCTTTTTCCTTAGAAGTGTTAGTGTTTGGAGGAGACATCCTAAAGTTTGCAGGTATGATGGTCAACAAAGAAGGGAGGGGTAAGAAAGGACCTCTGAGAAAGTCAGGGCTGAGAGGGGGCCCTGAAGAGTGTAAGAAAGCCGTTGTAAGGATCTCCTTCAGACTGATGCCCAGAACAGCCCCAAAGACGCCAGTGTGACTGTCTCTTCCAGGTGATGCACTGCTAGCCCTATGGAAGGTGGAACGAAAACAACTGAAAAACATTATCACAGTGGTAATTAAATGCAGCCTGGAGATACATGGATTGTTTGAGACCCAATTATCTGAGGAAGGCCTAGATATCCGGGTTAAAATAGGTAAGCATTTATGAAGGAACAGCTGTTGTTAGAACTGTGGATGTGAGTTCTGACTGCTGAAGGATCCTTTCAAAAAGAGAAGACAGCAGCACACTGGCCCAGCCCCATGGCTGTGCCTTCACATTTGAAATAAGGCAGACCAGAATGTGAATTTTGACTCCTACTCTTGCAAGTTAAATAAATGTAGGATAATATTATTACCTTCCTTCCTGATTAATACAGGAGTCCTTGGGTGGTACACTCAAGTGCTTATGCATTCAACTGTTAGTCAAAACATTGGCAGTTGAAACACACATGGAGGTCTTGGGAAACAGGTCTGATGATCTGCTTCCAAAAGATCACTGCCTTGAAAATCCTATGTAACCCTACTCTGCACATATGGAATTATCATTTCACTGGATCTGCTATCTCAAAAGAACAAATAAGTCTGTCTTGAAGGAGTGCAACAAGGGCACTCCCTGGAGACAAAAGTGGTGAGACGTGTCCTCATATAGTTTAGGCACATTGCCAAGAGGGACCAGTTCTTGGAAAAAGGCATCATGCTGGGAAAGGTGAAAGATCAGAGAAAGAGAAGACTTTTAACAAGATGGATTGACGCCATAACTGTGTCAAAGGGCTTGACTATATTAGAGATTGTGAGGACAGGGTAAGGTTCAGATCTGCAGTCACAGGATCACTTTGACTTGTAGGCAACTTGATGGCACCTAACAACAACAACAACAACAGATTAATACAAAGACTAAATGAGTGAGTATTGACTGAGTAATCACTCAGCAGAAGTCATTGTTTTGTTGTGGTTAGTTGCTGCTAAGGCAGCTTCAGCTGATGGTGATCTTACTTATAACAGAATGAAACACTTCGCAGTCTTGTCCATTGGGTCCATTGTTGTAACTGTATCATTATATTGGTATAATTGGGTCCATTGTTGTAACTGTATCATTGTTGTAATTATTATGATGTTTGTCTTCCTGCTGCTTGTCAACAGTGTATCTCATCAAGTAAAATGTTGTATACCTTGTCATTACATGGTTATAGCCATGTTATGAAACTGGTCGTTCCCCATTTCATAAAGTTAACGTGTTTTAAAACTTACTAAAACCACAGCACACTTCCAGCATTATAGAGGGCTTCTTATGCTCACATCTGCAATGATAATAATGATAATAATAATAATAAATAATAAATAATAATAACACATGGCACATGTTTCCTTCTTATTCCTCAAACATTGCACAAGTTATGTCATTCCCACTTCTCCCCATGCCTGAGGGACAGGCATTATCATAGCCATTTAATAGGGAAAGAAGAATGAGATTGCTCTGAGAGATGGAAATGTCAAACAGTAGCTAGAACTGCTGGTGCTGGCAGTGTTCGTGAATGTCTGCCTAATAATTAAGCTTTAGAAACTGAATTCTGAAGTAAGAGCTAGTGGGAACCTCCTTCAACATATTCCATCTTTGGCTCTTTTTGGCCCATGTGATGTTATGAAAACATTCCAATACATTAAATATTTTGTAAAAAAATATTGTAAAGATCCTTTCCCCCCAAACCAATATTTGAAGAATCTAATGCGCTATCCTTCTTTAGAATGATGGTGGTCTAGCCTCCCACAGTGACTGGCTGTTAGAGATATGGATTATTAAACCTTTCCACTGGGTACGTTTGAATATCAACATATTTCAGCTAGAAAACAAACCATATGTATCATCAAAAGAAATCAGTATTAATAACATATGTACAGCAGATGGGGCTCTGTTGGCCTAATGGGTGAAGAGTTGTGCTGCTACCCCAAAGGCAGATGATTTGAATCCACCAGCTGTTGAAAGATGGGCAATATCCTCCGATCAGACTCTGAAAACCCATTGGAGGGTCAGCTATTAGTCGTTTCCAACCCAACAGCACATAATAACAACATGTGCAGCAGAGACAAAGTTGAAAAAGTAAACATGGGTATTATTAATTGCAATTCTTTAAAAGAACTGTTTATCAGCTGTATTTAATTTATTCATGTGATTTATGTTCATATTTTATAACATATCTATATGCCATATTCTATAGTATTCAATGACTATGTAAATGCATTTGACTGGGTGGATCACAACAAATTGTCGCTAACCTTGAGAAGAATGGGAGTCCCATCCCACAACAGTTCATGTTGTCCATGCAAAAAGCTATACTTTGACTAGGAGGCAGTTACCAGAACAGAGCAAGGAAAATACCGCATGGTTTAAAATCAGGAAAGGTGGATGTCAGGAATGAAGTCTATCTCTATATTTTTTCAATCTATATGTGGAATAGATCATTCAGAAGGCTGGACTTTATGAGAAAGAATAGTATCAGGATTGGAGGAAGACTCATCAACAACCTGTATAATGCAAACAACATGACATTGCTTGCTGAAAATGAGAAGGACCTGAGGTGTGTGCTGCAGAAGGTGAAGGTCTGCAGCCTTCAATAAAGATTGAATCTCAACATCAAGTAAACAAAGATCCTCATCCTGGGCCAATTGGCAGCATCATGATAGACAGAAAAGAGATTGAAATTATTAACATCTTCAACTTCCTTGGTTCCACAATCAACATTCTTGGTACTAGCATCCAGAAAATAAAAAGATAAATTGCATTGGGGGGGGGAATTACTGTCAGGGACCTCTCCAGAGCACTGAAGAGCATGTCAGTCTACAGACTAAGGTGTGCCTGATCCAACCTATGGTCCTCGCAACTACATGCTGTGCATCAGAGAGCTGGACAATGACTACGGATGATAGAATTGGTGCCTTTGAGTTGTGATACTGGAAAAACATACCATAGACTGCTAAGAGAACAAACAGATCCATTCTGGAAAGATTGAAACCAGGCTTCTCTTTGGAGGCAAGGATTTTTAAGCTCTGTCTCACATACTTTGGATATGTTGTCAGGAAGGACCAGCCCTTGGAGAAGGTCATCATACCTGGAAGGGTGGAGGGACAGCGCAAGAGAGGAAGACCCTGGATGAAATGGATTGACTCAGTGACTGGGGTAATGGGCGGAAGGTTTGTGAGAGACAATGAAATTAGCTGAGGATAGAGCAGTATTCAGAGCTGTAGGGTTGCTATGAGTTGCAAGCAACTCAACAGCACATATTACAACAACAACAAGATATTATGTTGCTCAGGTGTCAAAAATCTTCTTTTTCCAACTTTAAAATAATTCATGGAAGTGTTGTTGGGATGGGGCACCTGAATATCAGATGCCTACTCTTTTTGTCTAATCTTCTATTACCTGAAATTTGAGCTTATGAGTTTCTTTTTTGTTAAATCTTTAATCTCTGTTGAAATGAAAATATTGCCCATAAAGGAATTATTAAAGTTACATTCTATCCATTTCCATAGTGCAAATAAAGGGGGGGGGGAATTTGGAATTTATAGGGCCATCTAGAAAAATATCTCAGAAAGATGAAATCTAGTTGTTGAAATTTTTAGCTTTGCAAAAAGAAAATTTTGGAAGAAGACGTTCTTAGATTCCTATTTTTAATTTTAGAGGCCTAAATTTTATTCTAAAGTAGTCTAGGCACAACAGGATTCTCTTTTTTTTCCAAGAATCAGCACTTCTGAGAAATAACCCAGAAATTCTTACACAAACCTTTTATTTGCCTTCTTGCCAGGATTATCTGCAGGCCACATCAGCATTTTGGTCTTTGGAGATGAAACACGAAACTACTTTCTGGTGATTGGTCAGGCAGTGGATGATGTCCGTTTTGCACAGAACATGGCACAGATGAATGAAGTCATCCTGTCACCAAACTGCTGGCAGCTCTGTGACCGGAGCATGGTGGAAATCGAGAGGATTCCAGACCAGAGAGCAGTTAAGGTGAGTGTGGGCTGCCGCTTGCACAACGTTCTGGCAGTCTGTATCAGGGGCCTCCCGCCAGAAGAGCTACTGGAACGGCTGGTTCCATGAAGCTGTTGGATTGGAGGTTGAGATGAGGTCAGTCTGCTTTTAAGATTTGGAGGCTTTCATCCAGGATATTCCTCTGGGACAAAGACTAGCGAATTCAAGGAGGAAATTATTTGATTTCTCTCTCTGGGTAATTTAAGATGGAGACTTTGGATATGGAGACTTCGAAGGGACTAGAGACTTTGCTCAAGACCCAGTGCGTGTTTTCTGGCTATTGTTGTGAGCAGAAAGGAGAAGTTTTTAGGACTGCCACTGCTCTTTCTTTCACATCTCAGCACCCTCATCCTGAGAGCTATAGGACCACTAAGGGCAAAAGAGTGAAAATGTGAAAGCATAGGAGTGAGAGGAAAGAGACTCTCCCAAGGCCCTCTTGTAGGAGAACATAGTCTAGTTAAGGTTAATACTGTAAATATCCAATCCTTGAGTTATGGCCAATTAGATGAACTGTGCTTTAAGAATGTGAAAAGAGGAAGACAACTATGGTGCTAGCTGGGCTAAAGGAATAGGACTGCATGGAAGACAAAACAAGAGACAAATCATTTACGAAGATGCTTGCGGAGACAGAAGGCATTCCCACAGCTTCTCAATCTGCAACACTCCCCAGTGTTCGCCTGTCACCCAGCAACTACATCAGCTGGACCACAGAAATGGCTCTTCATTTCTTTCCTTCTTAAATCATAACTTTAATTATTAATTAATTTTCTAAAATTGTTACAGAAAGTTCCCATATATCCTTTATTGAGACTCCTTAATTTTATACAGAGTGAAGTTGTTAGAACTGGGAGGTTAACATCTGACCATGATTTTTTCAGATGCCATTGAGTTGGCTTTGACTCACAGTAACCTTATTTACAACAGAATTAAATAGTGTCCAAACCTATGCCATTCTCACAATCTCTGCTACGCTGAACCCCATTGCTTAAGTCACTGGGTCAATCCATTATATTGAAGGGTCTTCCTTTCTTTTAACTGAGCCTCCACTTTTGCAAGCATAATGTCCTCCTTCAGGGACTAGCTTCACCTAATAACATGTATTCATAATTCATTCTGCTAAGATTAGTAGCATACCAGTTTTAAGAAGAGCTGAGTCAACGTTGTCCCAAATGTTTGATTTGCTGTAACCACATTTCCTCGTTTGTTTAGTTCCCACATTTCTCTATCTTCCTTGGGTTTGGTGGTTCCCTGGAAGGTCTCCCTGAGACTCAAGCTGATCAGGGGAATGACTCACATGACTGTAGATGTACAGGCCGATTTTGCACAGAATGGTGCACCTTGTAGCCTATCAGTTGCAATGTAGCTGGAAAGTGGGATAGCATGGAGGGGGATAGGGAAGAAGGGAAAGCTAGTATTGAGGTCCCAGGAGCTTGTACAAGACTCTAGTAGGGTGGGGCTTGTATCCCACCTTCATCACCTCTCCTTAATACAGTGGCTACTTTAGCACAAAATAAACATTACTCATTGGCTAGGAAAGACATTTTGAATGATAAACCTTGGTTTCACCATACTTGCTCCTAAAGCACTCTGGCTACACTTCCTCCAGCACAGATGTGTTTGTTCTTTTAGGTAGTTCATAGTGTCTTTAATATTCATGACAACTCCACAATAGACTCTTAGTTGAGCACGACTCATAGCAACCCTATGAACAAAAGGCCTGAAGCCCCTCTACAACTATTGACTTTTATCAAAGTTTATAGGTTCCAGAGGCATGTTGTTTAGGAAGTGGATGCCACTCCTGCTTCCAAACCTGCCATAGCATGCTATTGTTCTTATGTGCCATTGAGTCACCTGCGATATATAATGACCCTATGTACAGCAGCTCTGAACCCTGCCCTGTCCTGAGCCAGTCTCACCAATTCTGACACACCAACTGCCCCTATCGCCTCAGTTATCAATCCATCTCATGCGGGGTCTCTCTCTCCTGTGCTGTCTGTCCACCCTTCCAAGCATGATGTCCTTCTCCAAGGACAGATCTCTCCTGGCCATGTGCCCAAAGTAAGTGAGGTGGAGCTTGAAAATCCTAGCTAGGATTGGAATACCAGTTGATGTATTTCAGCAAACAGATGCTGCCCTGTATGTGCTCACCAAGTTGTGTCAAGAAATCTGGAGGACAACTATCTGGCCAACTGCCTGGAAGAGATCCAGATTTATTCTCATTCCAAAAAAAGGTGACTCAACAGATTGTGGAAATTATCAGACAGGATCACTAATATCACACACTTGCAAAGCCCTGCTGAAAATTATCCTGAAAAAGACTTGAACAGTAGTACATTGACAGAGAACTACCAGAAATACAGGCTTGGTTTAGAAGAGGTCATGGTACTAGGGACATTATTGCCAATGTCAGATGGATCTTGGCTGAAAGCATAGCATACCAGAAAAATGACTGTGTGGATCACAATAAATTGTGGCTAACCTTGAGGAAAATGGGAACTTCAGAACAATTGATCATGTTTATATGAAACCTTTACTTGGACCAAGAAGCAGTCCTCAGAACAAAGCAAGGAAACACTACATGTTTCAAAATCAGGAAAGGAGTATGTGAGGGTGTGTCAGGGATGCATCCCGTCCCTGTACCTTTTCAACCGGTATGCAGAACAGATCATTGGGGAAGCAGGGCTTTATGAGGAGGAGTGTGGCATCAAGATTGGAGGGAGACTCATTAACAACCTGAAACTTGAAAAGACAAATTGCATCGGAAAAAAATCTGCTGTCATGGACCTCTCCACAGTGCTGAAGAGCAACAATGTCAGTCTATAATACAAAGGTGTGCCTAATCAAGGCCATGGTCTTCTCCATTATTTGTTATGCTTCAGAGAGTTGGACTAAGGATGACAGAAGAACAATAGGTGCCTTAAAGTTGTGGTGCGGGAGAAGAGTCTTGAATACTAATTAAGGACTTTATTTAAATGTCAGTAATTTTTCCATGAATATTCGTTGTTTCCTTAGTTTAATGTTCTATGATCTCACATTGCATTGTGTTGTTATTTTTACTTAGTCTCCCCCTTTCTATAACATCTCTTCCATCTCTCCTTACCTTTCCTGACCTTTACACTTCAGAAAAATGTTTACTTGACAAATGTCCCTTAGTTTGATTTTTCCCTGATGCTTTCTCATTATTGAACTGAGGTTAGGCATTATGTTTTTGGCAAGAATACCAAAGAAATTATATTCTGCTATTTTTGGTGTATAATTTCATGATGTTGATATGTCTTATTGAAGACATTTCTACTGTTTATTTGAGCACCCATTTCCTTTGTCCTTTTACACATGTAAGGAAGAAATAGCATAAAATTTAACTAACATAGTGGTTACAATAAAATGTTATTAGAACTCTTGAGCTTTGCTTCAAGATCGTGGATGAAGTTACCTACTGCATAGTGTCAGAATGTTCCAACTTAAGACTAATGCCAGACTCAAACAGGAAGGGACTTGGTGGTTTGGAAAATGCTGAGACAACATGTTGTGGTTTTATGTACCGTCGAGTTAGAACTGACCCATAGCTGACCGTCCAACAGGTTTTAAAAGGCACTTAAGTTGCATGGGAGGAGATTGCCCATCCTTCTCCTTTGGAGCAGCTAATAGATTTGAACCATGTGCCTTCAAGATTGAAGCTTCTTGTGACTAGACCACCAAAGTTCCCTAAGCATCCATGACCGCCTCAAATAGGAGTTTTGAAATTAAGTTTGCCATTCTTATCGCATATCACACACTGTTGCTGGAGAAATTGTAGTTCCTAAGATGAAGAGAAAGACAGGCAAAGATGTACAGGGGTGCAATATATGACTGATTATTTCAGGTCTTTGTGAGCCAGGATGTGCCCATGATTAGACTAGCTCATTGCATGACTCTGGTCCGAAGTCCATGACTGGTAGTGAATATCTCATATTTGATTCAGAAGGACATGATTCAGCATAAAGAAAATGCAGTCAATGAAGGATCAAGTCATTGAGGTAGTTCAGAGAGGCACTTGTTAGAGTAGGATCCTATCTCTTCTTTGTCAGTTTTACGCATCTAATGCTTCCTCTCTCCCCACCTCCACCCTCATTTTTGTTATTGAGCAGTGGCAAAAACTCAACTGCATGGGGTGGGGGAAAGCCAAATAGTATTGCTACTGAGCTTCTAAATTTGACTGTACAGAGAAAGGGAAGACTTGAGTCTTGGCAAATCAAGAAGCAATTTCGATCCCTTCTACACAGGAAGCAATGTTACATCTTGGGGAGATAAGGAGTAATTGAGAGTGGAGACATTGACTTTTTGGTTTCTGGAGAAAACTCGTTGATAATCTTCTAGTAGGGAGGGGGAAAAGGTTAGAAAAGAAAGAAATAGTATATTAGTTAGTCCCTTGAAATGGCCCTTAAGTACACTGGGGATGGAGATGGATCTTAATACTTGGAGCAATACTTTCATGTAATTCCATCCAAGTTGATTTTCTTCAGTTGAAATGTTCCAGTGACTACTTACGATGACCTGGACACTCTAAACCATAATCTCTGCCCTTTCTGCTAAAAAAATTACTCGTGAAAGACCAGAAAACCCTCAGAATAACAAAAAAAAAATTCTCACTTTATTTAGGTTAACTTCTTAAAGCCACCCTCTGCTTTCAATTTTGATGAATTTTTCACAAGATGTATGTCTTTTATGGATTGTTATCCCAGTGGTGATCAGAAAAGTAAGTACCTTCCAGGAACAAGAGCCTCTGCTCTATCCTCAATCACGTGGTTCTCATACCAATACTGCCTCATATGGTAACTGGTCATTACAAGTGTCTGAACTCCTCAACACAGCTCCTTGGTGCTCTTTTCTTTTTCTTTTTCTTTTTTTTTTTA